ATGTATACATTTATATAAATATATATATTTCTATAACTGCAACAATAAGAGTAATTTAAGTACAACAACAACGTTCTTAAGCAGTCAAATATTTATTTTGTACTCTATAAAAAGTAAATTTTTCTATCGTTGTAGATATGTATGTATGTATGTATGTATGTATTTAGAACAAGTATTGCACAATAAAAATATAGACAAAAGCATTCTATTATTGCGTAATCCGCATTGCTGGCGGGCGGCGGCTTAAAGTAAAATTCAAAAAGAACAAAAAATTTTACTTAAATAAAATACAGTAAAGTAAAAAAGAGCAAAAAACTATGCCAAAAATATACGATTACATGAGCTCATATCAATTTATGCAATTCATCACTCAAGTGTCACATACATACATACATACTTACGTACGAGTACAATTCTTACTAAGTACTACATGTACATATGTATGTATGTATATAATATGCTTGTGTAACTCTGGCGCAATCGTCAACATCTAAAACGCTTCATGTCACAAATATGTTAAAGAACGGTGACGAATTGAAAACAATATGAGTAAAAAAACACTCAAACTCAAACTCAAAATCCAAGCAACAATTACTGCCGCACTAAAACACCTTCCTGTTCTGTCGAATTGTCAACTGTAACGAACTTTGTTTCTTACTTGATATCATAGCATGCACCACATATTTGTTGTTGGCTAATTAGAAGCATAACCAATTCTCAGAAATCACCGAAAACGCATTTGAATGGAAATGGTGTTTCTTTTGTTCTTGCAGATATAATTAAATATTGACTGATTATCCAAAAGTTAAACATAAAATCTTAAATGACAATTGAAGTTGGATTTATGCTTAAAAGTAAAATTAAAAATATTTTAATTAATATTACTTAGGTTTGCATAAAAAATTCATAAATAAAAGCTAATCACCCAAAACTGAGTTAAAAAACTTTTATTGCATTATTGTTAAGCTTTTATTGTTTCCAATTTGGCCCAAGCGCACCATGCTGAAAATCGCTTCAGCGGTTACAAAGCGCCAATTGATGAGTGCATAAGTTCGTGCCCGATTCCGCTGGATGCCGTTCGAATCGAAAGAAATATATACATATTATATATCGTTGGAAAGGTGACAGTCCGAACTGTAAATCAAGCATAAAATAACTTCATTTTGATTTGAGTTGCTTAGTGAAAAGACGCATGGAAGATGGACAACGAAAAAGATCATATGCGTCATATTATGTTATACGAAGTCCGCAAAGGAAAACCAGTAGGCGCTGCAACTAAAAATATTCGCGAAGTTTATTTGGACCGTGCTCCAGCCCTCCGCACAGTAAAGAAATGGTCCGCGAAATTTCGTTCTGGAGATTTTTACCTCGAAGATCAACCTCGCAGTGGACGGCCTTCTGAGCTTGATGACGATGTTCTAAGGACTTTAGTTGCGAATAACTCACGTATTTCGACGGAAGAGGTTGCCAGTGAATTGAACGTCAACAAATCAACTACGTTGCGCCATTTAAAAATGGTTGGGTACACTTTGAAGCTCGATACATGGGTGTCACATCAGTTGAGTGAAAAAAACAAAGTGGACCGTATGTCAACAGCAATTTCTTTGCTTCGACGGATCAAAAACGAACCATTTTTGGATCGGCTCGTGACTGGTGATGAAAAATGGATCCTGTCATCATACCGCATCCTCCATATTCACCCGACATTGCACCTTCTGATTATCATTTGTTTCGATCGCTGCAGAACAATTTGAGTGGAAAAAAAATTTGAAAATGTGGAAGACGTCAAAAACCACCTTGACACCTTTTTCAACGAGAAACCGCGCGATTTCTATGAATCAGGCATCCGTAAATTGGTTGAACGTTGGGAGTGGATTGCCGAACATGATGGCGAATACATAACTGATTAATAAAAGCGCTTTCTTGAAAAAATTTCAATTTTAGTTTGCACTTGAAATCGGGCACGAACTTATGTTCTCATCCAATACTATATCTTAAGTCAAGTAAAAAGTTCGTTCGGGTTTTAAGAGATGGCGTTATTGTCCATAGTACTAGTGTTACTTGTCGCATCATGCCGCACTATACGGCGCTGAAAACGTGCTTATTCGCGCTAAAAGCTTGTCTTTGATAGCTTTCGATTGGTTGACTCAGTACGTTGTAAGCGCTCGTCAAAGATGGACACCAGCAAAGAGATATTTTTTAAAAATTATCCTCGATCAAGGCGTAAAAGCAGACAAAGGGGCTGAAAATATTCATTTAGTTTATGGGTGTAGCACAAAAGTGGTTTACTAGGTTCCGTTCCGGTAATTTCGATGTCACAGATGCACCACGTGTCGGGAGGCCTGTCGTCGAAAATTGCGATAAAATCATGGAAAGAGTGGAAATACACCGTCACGTGAGCACTTATTTAATTGCTGAGGAACTAAAGATAAGCCAGAAAACCGTTTGGAACCATTTGCGTAACCTTGGATTCCAAAACAAGCTCGATATTTGTGTGCCACACGAACTAAAGCAAGAAAAAACCTCATGGACCGAATTTATATCTGCGAATCGCTGCTGAATCGCACCAAAATTGACCCGTTTCTGAAGCGGATTGTGACTGGCGATGAAATGGATCACTTACGACAAAATCGAGCACAAACGGTTGTGGTCAAAGCTCGGGGAAATGGCTAAGACGGTGGCCAATACCGGGTTGACGGCCAGGAAGGTTTTGCTGAGTGTTTGGTTGAATTGGCAAGGAATCATCTGAAACGATCGGCTCAATTCGGCCCTCTGCTGCCAACAAATGGACCGCTTGAAGGCAACATTCATCCAGAAGAAGCCATCTTTAATCACCAGAGGCCGAATTGTGTTCCAACAGGAAAACGACAGGCCCCAAACATCTTTGGTGACGCGCCAGAAGCTCCAGGAGCTCGGATGGGAGGAACTAATGCACCCTCCTTATAGTCCGAACGTGGCACCAAGTGATTATCATTTTTTCCTGTCCATGTCGAACGCGCTTAATGGTGAGAAGTTGGCCTCAAGAGAGGCCTGTGAAAATAGGCTCTCAGAGTTTTTTGCCTATAGCCGACGAGAGGGGTACAATGTAGTTGACATCTCGTTGGTAACAAGTTTATGAACAAAACGGCGCATATTTGACTTAAATCAGACAAATGTCACAAAGTTCTCATATTTTGAAAAAATCAATAAAAAAAAAGCCGAACGGTGAAAACAAGTCGAAATTCCGTTTTTGCATTTATTTTCTTTTGGTAATGCGATGTATGATGTTTTTCTATTTTCTATGAATTAAAATTAACCGAAACTATGATTGTTTATTAGAGATTAATGCGACGGATGATATTCTTTTTTTCTGTCATTTTGCCAAAGTCTGGCTTCGATTGGATTAGTTTGCCACGAAGTTCGGATTCCAAATTTTGTTGCGATATTGCGTAGACGACTTGAGAATGATGATTCACAAACCAAAATAAATGGAACCAAACATGCGTAAAAACTTTGGTGCAATATCTTTGAGTGCAAAAGAAATTGCATTCAGAGAAGACACGCCTCCACAATGCATCGCCCATTTTATTTGACATGCCGCTTTCTTCATTTATCAATGAAATATCGATTTCCAAATGAGTTTTCTTTCTTCCAAAATAATCTGACGAGGTTCGAGCCGTACGATTTACGTTGAACATGTAAGAAACGAAATTCACCCGTAGCTTGTTAGAATGGCGTGGAGACTATTATTGTTCCTGTTACTAGTGAACTAGGGTCTAATCGAGCTTCTTGATATGCAGTTACAGTCGCATGGCTATACCAAATTCATACTCTTGCGTCCAGGTCCCTTGTAATGCGGTAACCAATCCGAGTGGGGCACGGTTAAAGAGAAGAAGCATCAGTGGAGTTCCTCCCACTTATTCGGTCTACTGTCTGTTCACCAGATTAGTGGCTGCAAAAGTAGTAGTAGTAGTAGTGTGTGCAAAGCTTAAACTTACTGGCCTAACGTGGTTGTGAGCTGGGTTTGGGTACCTTCACTTAGATATCAGCTCTAAAGGAAAGGTTAAAAATGTCCCGAGAGACGAGAGACTTCACTTTTGATGACGATCACTGCCAATGTATTTTTTTTGCATGCAACACTGCTTAGCAGTAAACGTCTCACACACAGATGTCGCTTGTGTATTGGAAAAACTGGACTTGGATTTCCTTCTTCTGTGGAATCTATAAAGGCCGATGTTGCCCAAAAACATGCATTTATTTTATATTCTAATTTTATCACGTTTTACCAATAAGAGAATGAACTACTGGTATTAATAAAATAACGTCTCATTTTTGGAAGAAGAGTTGGTTTATATTTTTTCTATAGTTTAGATTTCCGTGGAGGAGGGGTTAATAGTCTCTGCCGAGGGGCGACCGCAGTGCAGGCGAAGCAATGTTAACCACTCGGCTGCCGCGGCCGCACGGTGACATACTCATACTTCAGTGAATAAAGCGAAAGAGTGGGCCGCTATTTGTTCATCGAATTATTTTTTAAAATTAATACAAAAAAGTGATATTTACAACAAACATATATGTATATGTATGTACGTCTGTTTGTTTTTGTTGCAGTGTAATAAATGTCTCATGTTCCGTACTCATTGACCACAATTAATATCCATGTTAGTATTGTATATATTTAAACCCAGCCTTTCTTTTTCACATATACTTTTGTACATACTTACCAACATACATGCATACATATGTATATTTTCTGGAAATAATAATGAATTTGCAGTAACTTTGAGAATAAGAAGAATTGTTGCCTATCAGCTTTACAACAAGTTTTTATAGTCAAGTAATTATGGAAGACAAGCAATTGAAATGAGTGGTTTCTCACAAGTCCGTAAAGATTTCTTAGTAAAAACCATTTTTGTTTTTTTGTATGGCCAAAGCAATAAATAAAATTACAAGCATATAAATGGAACTCCATAACACCAAAGTGATGTCAATTAGTTTTTAATTTCGACACTTTTCATTCACAGATGTTGGCGCGAACACCGACCATCGACACACGACCCGCCGCCAGTACAGCACCCGCAGTCGATCTTATAGCCGGGAATGAGTTTCTCAAGCTCTTTCTCGAACGTGAGGAGACACAGCGCGGGCTGCACAGCGGAGAGCACGTGGAAAATGCACATCGCGTAGTGCAAGGCGTGGCGGCACAAAGTGATAGTCGTAGCAATAGTAGTAGCAGAGAGCTTGGCAAGGGGCTGACTGGGGTAGACAAGTCATCTGTGAACAGTGAGACAACTACAACAGCACGTAGTCTGAACTACAAAAGTAGGCGCAGTGTGCAAAACGAGGCAACAACGGTCAAATCAACTGCGGCAGAGGGCAAGCAGTTGGTCAAGCTGGTGACGTCAGGCAGTAAAATTGTCTTCCTCGAAGAGTACGATGACAATGACGCCATTGTGGATGCGGTGGCGCGGGAGATTGATATAAAAAAAGAAAATTTCGAATCACCACTGAGTCAGCGGAAGTCCAAGGTCGACGCCGCGCATATAGAGCAAATGGATAAGAATTCCAAACTCAGCGATGAAGTCAAGGTGATCGCAGTGAGCGTGTCATCGTCGAGTAAACGTGGTGGACGTATCAGCCGCATAGGCAATCAATACCACACACCTGACACAATTATGTCAAAGCAAAGCAATCAATTAGGTGAGACGCGTGCGTCAATGCGCCACACGTTTACCACCAAACAAACACCACATGAGAACAATGTCGACAAAAGTCAAAGCGACGTCGCAGTCATGCCCACCCTGAAGTTGACTCTAACCACAACGCCAGCGACAGCGCCAATGAGTGCGTCTGTATCTGCGTCCTCAGTAATGGACGATTTCGTGAATCGTTCTCACAAAAGCGAACTCTCCATTGAGGAAGCCGAACCGTTGACAATGTCTCCGCAAAAACTGCGCGCCGCACAGCATGCTGCACGCGTCAATGCGCCTCGATCACTGCACACGCCACATGCCGTGAGCGGACGTGCAGTGAAAATGGCTGGCAGCCGCGATGAAGCGGACTCGGAGAATAGCGCTTCGACGAATATACAAAACGTGTTGGCCGCACCATTAATGCAGTCCGCTTCAACACGCACCGCCGCCGTAACTGCGCCAGCTGCTTATCAAAGTGGTAACCGCAATCGCAATGGCACGTCCTCGCCCATAAATCACAACAGCGCAACGACGGCAGCTCATCGTGCACTTGTCAACACACAAATTAGCGCTGATGATGATGTTGGCGATGATCACACGACCGCCGATACACATATGCAGGGCACGTCCAATGGTGCGGCTCCCGGCGTCACACCTGCAGAAGACGACATGGAGGAAAAATTGTTGCCCTTCCAAACGGTAATCTATCACAATACGAAAGAAGGCCACGGTCCGCAATCTCGCTCGATATCTTATAGTTCGTTATCGCAAAATGTTGAAGATTTGCATGCGTGGCGACATTCGGGCATTTTGGCTGAGGCACAACGTAATGTTAGCGAGAGCTTGAAACCTCTACAGTCTGCACAATTGTCGCGCTCCTCAGAGCCGGCTAAATTCTATTCCGTGCCATCGAAAATGTATAGCGAGCCATCGAAGTTCTACTCCGAGCCGGCCAAAGTTTATTCAGAGCCTGCTAAAGTCTATGGGGAACCAGAGAAATTTTACTCTGAACCGGCCAAGGTATACGGCCAACCGTCTAAATTTTATTCAGAGCCCGCTAAAGTCTATTCGCAGCCGGCTAAGGTGTATGGTGAGCCGGCGAAAACTTATTGGTCGCCGAGCGGCGTTGGCGCTACTGCTACAACGACCACCAGCTCTACAGCGAATACACCGGCAACTACAACTACTACCTTACGACCTGGCCGTTATATGCCTTCACGTCGCCCGGCCATTGTCTCTCGCATAGCTTTCGGCGAGGCGCAAACCTCAACAACACCGCCACCAGCAGTGGTTGTGGATGAACACGTACCAGCCACAATGGCAGTGCCTCCTAATCACCATCACCAACAACAACATCATACGCATCATCAACAGCCCACACGTTTTCATCCGCACACCCAAAGCCACAGCCACAGCCACAGTCACAATCACAATGCGCATAACTCGGCACATAATGGCGTTCATGACGGACGCAGCTCAACGGCGCATACCCATGCCAACAGTCAACCAACCGCATCAGCACAACCTGCTCCAGCTCAATCACCATCTTCACAATCACAGTCACATTCGGCGGGGCAATCACAACCACGTCGGGTACTCTTCAACTTGGATAAATTGCCATATGATTTATTGAATGCCCCACAACAATCACCGCAACATCTCTTGGATCCCGACTTTCCACACAGCCCACCGGCAGCAGTTACCTACTCGTCGCCACGACAACGTCAGTGCTTGGAGTCCGCCTTCTCAGCGTCGTTGTCTCAATCAGCTTTGCAGCAGCAACAACAATTGCAGCTACAACGTCAACATTCATCATTGTCGGAGCAACATTCTAATCAAAATGCCAAAGGATTGCCTAATAGAGGTGAGTGAATGAGTGTGGTATCTTAGCGTAGATTTAGTTTAGTACTTAGGTTAGCCGACAAAGTGGTGACGGGCGCTTGTATGCACATATTTATGTGTATCTTTCTATTTACAAAACAAACAAAATGTATGTTGATAGTTGTAAATTTGTCTGTGATGTTTGTGAAAAAATAACAATTTTGTGTGGAGAATTATTTATGTGCTAACAACGATAATTTTATTAACCAACATTTCGTCTTGGATAAAAATGCAAGGATTTTTTTTCTTTGAAGCCAAAAGGTTGCTTTCCATTGTTGCATAAAAATTATCCCCGTCCCAAGTCACTCTCCCCTGATATTTCTAAAGGTGTGGAGGTCTTCCTTCTCATTGCTTGCCCACTGCCTCTTTATTCGATTAATTGGGTCAATGTCACCGTATAACTGCGATATCTGATCGTCTTCCGCAATTTCTCTAGAGAAATTTTAACACCGATTCATCAGATGTTATCGCGTACCGGCCTCTGCAACATAAAGTAGGACGAGAGGGTACTTTAAACCAAGATACGAGTGCGCTGGTTGTTGGCTTGATGACACCCGATGTTTCGTCGTGTTCTCCCAACCGGTTCGCTTGTTTCATGAGTTTGATGAAAGCTTAGCTAAATACGTAACGGCTTGGAGAGGTCTTTGCCTATATTGGGCCTTCAAACTAAAAGGAATTTCACTGCTTCTCATGTTCTGTCAAGATTTTCAAAATAGGGAGCTTGGGGCGCTCTCATTTTCTCCGAAACATTTCCTACTCAAAAACTGTAAAGTAGGAACTCTTCTCTTTTACGAGGAATGCGATTTTTAAGTTAAGTCAGGCATATATCCTAGAAAACCGAGTCCGAAAACAAATTAGTTGTAAAAGGGCATATTTTTTTCAATGAATTGCTTTCGACTAGTAACTGGCGAATGACACGCGTGACGGGACTGTCCGTATATACGTCACACTTTACATATCATACTTAAGCAGGAAAAAGTCTAACCGGAGATATCATACGCTCCTGGTTGTCTATCGACCGTCGTCGAATTTTTGCTCACCCCCTTCAAATTTGAAGAAATATAGACCGATGATTCCACCAGCCCGAAAACCACAACAAACCGTTGCGTTTCTAGATGAAATGGCAGCTTTTGAATCTCTTCAGGATGCTTTCCACTTCGAATTCGGCAATTTTGCTTGTATACACACCCATTTAGCTGGAGGGCTGAACAAAATTTGGCTCGTAAACGTTGGATCTTCTTGGAAGTTTTCAAGAGTTTATAGAGCGAAGCGATTTTGCTTGGAGAGGTCGAGCGGCTTCAGTTCTTGCACATGCTGTATTTTTACGCTTTCAATTTATAATCTCGACCCAAAATGCGTTTAGTTGTTCCATTGTCCGAGTTCCTATGAATGGCGCCGAATCAAGTCTCCGTGGTTTTCGCGTAGACTCTTAACTACGGCTGAAATAGTGAATGCTGGGTCGCGTTGATGATGGGTGCATAGGCTAACTAGGAGATGGAAATTTAGCAAGCCTTTTGGATATAATGTTTAAACTATTCTGAAACGCCGATGACAGTATGGCTCTCCAACTGAGAACCACCAATGTGGGAGAACTTGTGACAGAGGACCTGGATTTGAGTAGATGATATGATGACACTTAAAAAGACCTGTGTCCTTCTTAAGAGAATTTGATCTATTTCATCCGTGGAACTTTATCAAGGGCAAGTCCAGACATTGTGATGCCTAAGATAGATCGTCCCACTGCTCGGTGTGTGGTTCTTACTTAGTGACTTGTACGGAATAATTCGGCTCTCAAATTAATTATTATTTTACCGTCAAAATATGTTTAACTCATGCAAATGTATTTATTTCAAATCCCTCTCTTCTCAACCATCTATCTCTCCAGATCTAGTCAATTGTGTTTCCAAATATCAACCGTCAACAGCGACAACGGAAGGCGCCAACGCCGGCGACGCGAACGATGATGACGACAATAACAATAAAAACAACAACGACGAAGGCTTGTACACACCGACCCCAGAGCAGAATTACGAAATTGAAGAGTCCGTAAGTGTTATGACAAACGGACGAGCCCACGGTGTACAAGGCAATGCAGCAGTGACTACAACAGCTCGACCAACATTTGCAATGCGCACAACAAAATTTCCTAGTCGCGGCACCATAACACACCATCATCATCATCATCAGCAGCAGCAGCAGCAGCAAAATCATTATTATGGCAACGCCAACCCGAATCCGAATCTAGACAACAACTATGATGATGATGATGAAGAGAATGGGCCAAATGGCAACAACAACAATAATAACAGTGATGATGGTGTGGTTGCGGATGGCAATAAAACCGGTAATGCTGATGATGAGGATGCCAAGGTGGCCTATGTCGTCGAGGGACGCAACTATCGCAAGTATCGCGTGGAGGAGAAGACCGATGACGGTTTCATTGTTGGCGAATATGGCGTGGTGGACCATAACGATGGTAATTTGCGTGGCGTGCGTTACACCGCTGATTCGACCATCAATCGTAGTCTGATACAAAAGGCGTTGTTGACATTTCTTAAGCTCAAATAAGCGCCGCAGTCTAAATGCAATGCAACGTAAGTGGCGTACAATGAGTTGGTGTATAGTATGGTCGTGGTGTTACGGTGGACAGGGTAATAGGATTGTAACAGTTTGCTTGACCATTCGGCAAACGGCAGTAGGCGCATTGTGGTGGCGTATGTTTATAAGTAGTTGTAATTGTAGGCGGCTTTGTACAGCTCATAGTAATGTGCGACTACGCAAAGGCGGCAATGTGGTGCAACCAAAGCGTTCTAAAGGCAAGCACATTTCGTTTCTTTTCGCTGGGAAGAGACATTGAGAGATTGAGCGTGCAAAGTGAGGTTAAAGTGAATTTGAATTTTTCGACATTCCGGAGATGCTTCAGCAAAATACATTATATGCCGCTATAAGCCAAAGCCGACAGCCCGGCAACGCTGTGCACCGCCTTTATACTCGTATGTTTGTATTGTATGTATGTATGTAGGCAGTGAGTCGTTTAAGCACAAAGTATTTCTTGTCTATTCCTCGTGAATTATTCAGCACTTTTTTATTATTTTTATTTTATTAATATATTTTCTTTGTATTATATTTATATGTAAGTACATATTTTTGTTTAAAATCCATTAGACAAGCTGAAAAATATATGTGATCCAAGTCGTACTCTCTAGGTATACAACAATATGCATAAGTATGTGTAGGTATGTAAAGAAAAAAAGAAGAAAAAATGAAATAACGATGGAGTAAGGCACAAATATATATAAAAGTTATTATTTATAAACAATATACATATTTAAGTATGTTTTCAGTTAGAAGATAAACGTAGCTAGTGCTCAATTTTTTTTTATAAATAATTTTATATAATGACAATAACTATTGCTCATTGATTGCAATCAATTGTGAATTTAATTTATTACAATTTTTATGTATTTTTTTTTATTTTTTTTTATTTTTTTTTTAATTTTTTTTTTAATTTTTTTTTAAATTTTTTTTTAGTTGTATGCATACTTAGTAAAATGATAGCTGAGTCTTCGTTTTATTTAACTCATGTTTAGTGATTTATTGCAGATGAAAACCACTTGCCATAAATTAATAAAATCAAGTAAAATGTAAGAAAAAAATTAAATAAAAAAAAAAATACTTTGTAATTGAAACAAATAGATATTGTAATTTAGCAAAAGCGTTTTAATTTTACAATTGCTAAGTAATTGAGATGCTAGATATGTATGTAGTATATTTAATTCCTACAAGCAGTCGAAAGATTTTTTCTTTTGCTTTACAAGTGTACTGCCAGCGTCACAAAATTAAAGCTAATAAAAGTATATCCATAGCAAGTTGTAGTTTGATTAAAATGAAAATAATAATTTTAAGTTGTAGAAAATTGTTTAGCAATAAATGAGATTAATTAAAAAAAAAATAGTAATTAATATTGATACATATTTGATAAGGTTAACAATGATTTTTGTGATAAGTTGGCCTTTTAAACATTTATTTGTAGAAGAAAAAAATTAAAAAAAAATTATGAAAACTCTTAAAAACTTTTGGTATTAAAAAAAACACACATCTACATATTTGAGGTTATAAGCCTTCAATTTATGGACTAAAGCCAAGCTAGCAATGAACTTTCCATCCTCTGATTGATAGTTTTAACTTTGACAAAACAACAAAATATGCCAGAACAATGTACTTAGTGCTTTCATGCTTTAAAGTTACTTATTATAATTTCTATTTGCAAAAATTTAATCACTATGATATTTTACAAAAAGCTTTTAGGTGAATATCATAGAATTTGTTGTAATTTTTTATACTCCCCAGTGAGCTTTGAAAATACAAGAAGAACATTAGATGATCGTTAAGGCGGATTTAAGTTTAATAAAGCCCAAATGTTTACCTTACCTTGCTTTGCTTTGCGAGATGCGAGCTAGTCTGCAAAAGCTTTTAAATTGCTAACGAATTTTTGATTTTTATAAAATTGAACATCCAATTTTTTTTCCTTTTCAAAATTATAAAAATCTTAGAAATAATTGTTAATGCAACCTATGGCCGCATTAGCTCCCGAAAATTGCTCCTTCATTTTTTTTACAAATTTATTGAGTTCGAATGGTATCACGTATACAGATGCGATCAGTTGCGGCATTGCTTTACCTGACATATGCAAGTTATTAAGTGATAAAATGATTTTATATTAATAATTAAAACCTTTAATTACAGCAAAATTAAATGCTTTTTAGTATGAAATACAAAATTGAAATTTACAAAGATCGATTTCATGGTTCCATTTTAATCTAAGTCAATAAATATTTGCACATATATTGAGAAAGGTACATACGAAATCGGCTTTTAAAGCAAGCAAAGCACGGGGTAATATGAAGTTATGCCATTTATTTTGGATCTGTTTATGTTTTGACATTTGTGTTAATTTAATTTGAATTTATTTCTCTTTATTTTATAATAAATTTTTAATTCGTTTCAGTTAATTAAATTTTTTTCCAGTTCATTATTTAAAAATATTTCAAATAAATTTAAATAAAATAATTTAGTATGTTTATTTTTATTTTTTCAGTTTATATCAATTAATTTAGCTCAAATTTTTTATTTTTTTATTTTCAATTAATTTGTTTTGTTCTTTACTTTAATCCTTATACATTATATTAATTTATTTTATTTCAATTTTATTCAATTCATTTCGTTATAATTGAGTTTTATTTAATTTCATTTTATTTTACTTTTATTATTTCATGTGTTGCTTATGCTTTAAAAGGTTTTGTTTTCTTTCCTTTGATCTTAACTTAATTTGTTTTTTTTTTTATTTTCATGAAAAAATTTATTTTAATCCAATAAATCTAAGTAAATTTAAAGAATTTTTTATTATTTTAAATTTTTTTTCAATTTGTACAAAATAGATTTGATTAAATTTTTCATTTTCCTTAAATTAATTTCTCTTATATTTATTTACTATATTTTTTATATTAATTTGTTTTATTTTATTTCTTTACTTAATTTTTTTTATATTTAATTTTATATTTTTTATGTTATTTATTTAATTTTTTAAAAATATTTTATTTTTTATACTTTGTTTTACTCTCTTTTATTTTATTTTATTTTATTTTATCAAACAATATTTTAATTGGTTTTATGGTAATTTATTTTATTTTCTTATTTCATTTAATTTTGCTTTATTTTAATTTATTTTATTTTGAATTTATATATTTTGTTTATTTTCATATTTCATCTAATTTAATTTTACTTTATTTGATTTGATTTTATTTTATGTTATTTTATTTTAATTGAATGTAATTTTTTTTATTCTATTTTTTTGTTTTATTTTATTTTATTTTATTTTATTTTATTTTATTTTATTTTATTTTATTTTATTTTATTTTATTTTATTTTATTTTATTTTATTTTATTTCATGTTACTTTATTTTAAATTATTTTATTTGAATTTATTTATTTAATTTTTTTATTTGATTTTATCCATTTAATTTTTTTTAATTATACTAATTTTATTTTAATTTATTTATTTTTGTTTTTTTACATAATACATAATTTTATTTTATTATACTTTCTATAGATGTTAATGAAAATATGAACTTTCCTATTTTCAAATTATTTAAGCTTACAATTTTTATGTTAAAACCTACTAAGAAGTTAAATTCATATCACACAGTAAAAAGATTATATAATTTCTCACAATTTCTTCAATTAATTTTCCATATTTGTATTTTGTATGTATGCATATGTACGGATAATTAATATATCTTTTAAAGCTCATACTCGAATGTAAATAAACTTTTTCTTGCTGGCAGAAATAAGCGTAATATGGAAAGCCGAACGACCTAAGGTAATCGAGTTTTAGATGGCGCTCTAAAGCGTAATTAAAATTAATTAAAAGCAATTCGCTAAATAATGTTTACTTCTGATAAACGAAGATTGAAACAAATAAAACCTTTGGCATTTTAACATTAAAAGTATCACCAACGAATGACTAATAAATGCGGCGCAAAATTAAAGAAAGAAAAATGAGGTTTGGCACGATCATCTTCTGTACGATAGAGGAGAGTTGAACAAAAATATAATTTTCTTAATTGAAACACCTTATAATACTTACTTTCAGCTGAAAATATTTAATGAATAAATATAAAAATTTTTAGGCAAAAATTGTTTATAATATCCTTAAATAAATCTACCGAAAAAATAATACATTTTCCAGCCATGTTTTGTAAAAAATTTTAGTAATAAGAAAATATACGCTGTTCTATTATATTTTTTTTTTCGTATTTAAAGAAATGTTTAAGGTTTCCTTTGCTGTAAAAATAAAAAATCTGTAAATAATTAAACATATTTATATAACAAAAAAAAAATTAAAAAAATAAAAAACGAACATTTATTGTAATCTCGCAATATTTCCTATAAAAGGTACGTACGTAAATGTCACCTTGAATTGTTCCTTTTTTTAAATAAAAATGAAGAAAAACTCAAAAATATGTTACAATACACAAAATATTTAAAAACAAATGAAAAACTATTACGAGCCCAAGATAAAATGCTCAAATTCTTAATTTATTTATTTGTACTAACAACAACAATATTTACTGTTAGTCTTAGTCTAATAATATTATAGAAAGGATAAATGTGTATCGCACACTCCACAAAGCGTCTAAACGAATAATAACTATTTAAATTTATTAGAAATTTATTGAAAAAATTAGTCTAAATGTCCAGCGCGATATTATGTAAATATCATTGTATATACCTATGTGTGTATATGTAGTATCTAAATAATAATTTACTATCATTTGTGTCTAAATAAATGAAGTCAATAAAATGAATTGAATTATTGTAATTAATTGCAAGAAAAATAAAACAAAGAAACGAGCAAAAACAAAAAAAAAACATATGGTTTCTTTGTTTGAATTTATTTGAATAGGTTTTGCAAAAGTGTTGAGTGTAATTGATTCCTTTCGACTGTAGTAATTCTAACTAAATGCTATATGTACATACGGGTGTGCACATGAACAGTGCGCGTCATTAAATGGTTAACGCTTGGTAAGTACATCGAAGAAGACATTCCCTGCTGAGCAGCGAGCGCAATGAGAAAAAATTGTTCTCCATAATTTTGGATGACAATCGACACGGAACTTGAACCCTGGCCTACAGAACGGCAGTACGTAATGCCGAGTACGCGCCGAGTCGATGACGGGCATAATGTTGCTACAATTAATTAATTTGATTTCTTAACGCTGTCATCATCGCCCCCAAAGAAGTGCGAAGGAAAGAAAAATGGTGGAGCATTTGAGAGTGCGCTAATTTGGTATATGATTTGTGGTTGGAGTGGAACTCCTTCGTAAACTGCTGGTATTTACTTCGGCGGATGAAAGCCCCAATCCGCGTTTAAACGAAATTTATCCCCCACGGAAGGAACAAAATCGATTATGTCTCCAGTGTTCTAGATGTGCATACATTGCTGGGGCCGAATCTCGACTCAGATCAATATTTTATTGCACTTAAGATCAGCATTTATTTCTGTGTTTCAAAGAACGCCCATCAACAAAAACAGGAAAGAC